TATATGTATATATGCATGCTGATAACCACAAGGAAAGAAGAAAACTCGAAGTTCCCAAGCGCTTTCGTGTAATTCACATCTTCAGGGGTGAGGACAGACTAAGGAGAAGCACATAACAAGGTATATATATGTATACAGAGGAGGGTGAGATCAAGTCCACAATGGTCAGGTATTAGGAAATGACCCTACTAATCTTCAAAAAGCACCGCAGCAGTCGGAAGTCAGGTCATTTGAGTAATGGTATGTACAAACTGGATAATTTCGTAATTAAGATGATTTGTAACCAGTGCATGTACTGTAGTTATATGTATTCCATTTAATTTTATGGTTTTCTTATTAAGTAGATAAATCTCTTTAATGAATACAGCATCACATAACTGTTGCAATGCCAGACACTATCATAAGGTAAATAGATGAATTAGCTGGTGTGATTTAAATGCATATTATTATTTAATTACTGAACTGTAATGTACTGTACTTTGCTTTTAGATCCGAAGCCTCCACCTAGGACAGATGTTGGCTCTAAAGGCCTGAAAATTAACCTGGAGACAAACTATTTTCCAATCAGTGTTAAAAATAAGTTTGCAGAACTGGTTCATTATGATGTCTCTCTAAAAAAACACAACAAAGATGCAAATCTTCCACGAAAAACGAAAATGTAAGTATTATGCATTGCTTTTGGTTTAGTTTTACCACTCCCATGAGTTTTGTAGTACTGTACTGTAATTGTGTTCTCATTTAGCATTAAACAGCAGAAAGGTTTGAAAGAGCAAATATAAAAAAGTTGACCCTCTTTTATACTGTATATCTCAGATGAGTCTGATCAGTGTTAGTTAGAGGAGGATGATCTGTATTAATGGGGTATTTTCCTGATTGAATACGGTACACCTTTGCCGTTCACCATTTTTTTTTGCAACCCCCTACGTCCTTGTGTAAGGTGAAGCGCAGAAGTGTTTACAGCGCCCAACGGGGAAGCGTGCTAAGTTCGCGCTTGCCTTTATGTCTCGTGAGTTAAGGGCGTAGAAGCCTGAAGAGTCGATGGTTTATGTCTAAGCAAGTTATTGGAAGCTCCAACAACTTTTCCTGAATACGAATTCGCAACTTTCGATTTACGGCAGGTACCTACTTTGCTGCTAGGTGAACGGGGACCAAGGGAGGCTGGGAAGTGTGTCTGAACATCTTTCCACCGGCCTGGGAATCGAACCTGCGACATCTCGCTTGCGAGGCAAGAGCGGTACCGCTCTACCCACCTGCACCCCTAATTTAACGAGTTTGTGATTCGTGATTTCGACGATTCGCGGTAAGCAGATGGTGGCTATCTTGCAAGCCTTTTCCGCAGCACAACAAGTTAACCCATGCAGCATCTTGTGTTATATTCTCAAAACTTTAGTGTTTCTGTGTGAAATGGCCCCTAAAAGACTGCCTAGCGTCAATGCTAGTGGAGTGAAATGTAAAAGGCAGAAGTCAGTGATGACCCTGACAAAGAAAATTTTACTATTAGATAACTTAAAAGAGGGGATAAGTGCTGCCGTGGCTGGTCAGTTGTTTGGTATAGGTACAGTAAGTCCTCGTATAACGCTGTGCCGCTTAACGAAAATTGAGGTTTTAAACCGTTTTGAGAGGGAGGAGGAGCCACCCGCCGGGTCTCAGTGAATTGCTACCCTCCTCCTCCTCTCCCAACATACTCCTCCCCTCCCACCATCTGCGCCCACCGCAAACTTGCTCTACCACCTCCGCCCATCGGTGAGTACCAACAGAGAGTCCCTCAACACGTGATGATGAGGAAGACTTCAACTTCTTGTGGGTTGCGATTATTGTGTCGGTGCTGCTGATGAGTCTCCTCGTTGTATGTCTCGGCTTCTGCCTCAAGAAGCGACAACAGGCTGGAGCAAAAAACCGCTTCTCTCTCCAGCAGAACACCAACGAGACGTCCGTGAAATACCACTCATCAGCAGGTTCTTCCTCGTGCTCCATCCATATGGGTAACACGAGTGGAGGACTTCCAAGGTCGTGTAATCCGCCTTCACGTCCTTCTTTGCCTCCTCCCTGTGTGCCACCGCCTCTTTCCACATCCCAAGGGAAGCCCCAACTCCAGCTGCCACCAGGGGTTACGGAAGGAGGCGTGCAGCATAAGGACAACGTTAAACGGGGCGTGACAGATGAAAATGATTATTGCAACGCTTTCTTTGATCTAGATGCGGGGAATCAACTTGAGAAAGAAAAGGAGGAAGGGATGAAAAAAACGAGAGAATGGGAGAAGGAAGAGGGTGAGGGAAACTTATTCAATTATAAGTCTGACAACTCCTTATGTAAACGATTCAATGAAAATGAGGAAATATGATCAGAGAATAACTGAGAAGATAAAAAAGAAAACTAGAAAGGTTTGAGTGTGTGGAAGGTCTAGGCCCAGGGCAACAACTTGTGACCATTCATGTAATACTAAGTCGAGTGTCCTTACCTGGAGCTGGCGGATGCTTGCCCCACAAGGGGTCACAGCTCGAGGCTGAAGAAGCCGCAGGTCCAGAAAACTGTGAGGGCAAACTTTTTCGGAGTGAGAATTGTGAACTCTTGGAACAATCTGTCAGAAAGTGTTGTGACGGCACCGGGTGTGAGCTCTTTTAAGACCAGACTTAACCAACACTGGAGCAGGTTCAAGTACATTCAGGAGCCGGTGCATGCCCAGTACTTGCCAACAGTGCATAACAGAAACGTGACCCATATCTTAAGCGGCTAATGAGCCGATCAGTGGTGAAGAGGATAAAGCAATACAAACTTAGTAGCTGTATATGCATGCACTATTTTCTATAGAAATGGCAGTGATTTTCTGTATATGTAATGTATTTCATGGGGCAAAGGGAGGCTCAGGAATGTAACTCCCGCATTTTATCTATTTCTTATGTGGAAAATTGATAAGCTTAACATTGTTTTGTATAACGTCGTGTTTTCAGGAACGTAATCCCGACATTAAGCGAGGACTTACTGTATACAGTAGTGCACTTAAGTAGTATAAGTTGCTATTAGCGGTTTTGCCCATTCGTGCCCTTTCTTGTAACCTATTTCTCCCTAATGGCAAGGGTTTACTGTACTGTACTGTACTGCATATTACCCTCTATAAATTATTTGTTTGTCATCTGAACATCACCTTAAATATTATTCATTCTTTTGTATTTTTTTAAGGGAGATATTTGAAAAAATGAAGATGATATATGAAAAGGATTTCAAGAATTACCCACTTGCTTATGACTCAGAAAGGAATGCATACAGTGTGGGTGTCATCCCTGCTCTTCAAACTCCTGATTGCCAGAGTACTTATGAGGCGAGTATTTATTAAATATGTAGAAATGTGATTTTGAAATATCTAATGATATAATGTGTGTTGCTAGCAATCGGTTTGAGTAAAGATTCTTTGAAGAGAGGTTAAAACATTGAGCTTTCATGCCAGCAGATCACACGGTCTCAATATTTTTCCTTCTCCAATTGTTCAGAAATTTATTACAGTTATAGGCTCTGTACATGCATGATGAATCCAAAATTGCATTTCAGTAAGTTGTGACCTAAACTGCTATATAGTATGTAAATACACAGTAGGTTATGAAGGTGTGCATGCTGGGAAAGTCTTTGGTACAAGGAATACTTAAGTGTCACAATAATGCAGCTCACAGCCTGGGGGACTGAGATGCGTACCAACACTGTGGCGCTATCCTTCCCAACATTTCTGGGGACGTAAATTTTTTTCACATTCTTTATGAATGATTGTGTGTGCATGTAATAGTATGAAAAAAATTATTTACCCGAAAAGGCAAATTGAAAAATAACTCACGCAGCTCATGGCTTGACTGTGATCCCAACACTGAACCCCCACCTACTTCCACGATCCACACCAAATCTGGGGAAATTTTTTTTATTTACACTATGATTTTGACTATCTGCTATTGATTTCTTTTATTTATCTAGTTTTTCACGTTCTGTATGAAATTTTAATCATTATAACAGCAGGATATAAAACATAATGTACAGTAAAAACACCATAATTCTTACCCCCGTGGTGAGTCTGTGTCGAAAGCAGCTGCTTCTCGCCCTGTGGCACATCATTCCTCTCTACCTGCCTCTGATATGAAGCCAGTAATAAGAGCTCCCATCCATCCGCTCGAGTTGGCAATGCAGGTAGGATGCTGTCGGAGCAAACAACCTCGACGATATCCACCCTGCTTTGGATGCCTGGGGACATTCGGGACCATTGCACCACTGGGAGACTGCGTTGGCCTACTTCTGCATTGGCCACACACGACGGACTCATGGTTTTTTTAATGGAGAGGGTGCCCCCGTCCCATTGACTGTTCAACACCTCCTGGTGGAGTGCCCCAGCCTCGGAGATCTTTCGTCGGAAGCATCTCTCCCAGTGCCAGGGGGAAGATGAGTCTTACGATCTGTCTTTGGTGCTGGGGGAGGGAGTGAGTAGCATGGGAGGGGACGTCCTTTCCTTCCTGGAGGAAGCTGGTGTTCTGCACAAGCTTTGAGTTTCATCTATTAACGTTTAAATGTTTTTTACAAAAGTTTTATGCTACTGTTTATTATTTATGTTTCTTACCTTGCAATGCTTGATATTAGTCTTAAGCTTTTATTTTAAATTCAACGACATATTACCCACGCTGTTGCTTTGCAAGGGATGAAATTACCACAAACAATCAAACAAGTGTATCCCTCATATTCAAAATCGCTCATAATTCGTAATGTTTTGCTATTAAAATTGTTTGTGACAGTTCGACTTCTATCATTCATATACCCTTGAGTTTTAATAATATCTAAACTCTGTAATTTTCCATATATGTCCAAAATTTTATGAACACACCCAGGCACAGAGGCTTTGTCATTCTAATTTATCTGTTGTTTGGTTTTTCACCAAAGATTGACCTTGAGGAATCAGATGGCAAGAGGACACAATACAAAATTTCACTAATGGTGAGACATCGTGCCAACCTCCAGGAACTTACGGAGGCACTTAACTGCTCTGCTCGTGAACAGAAGACACTTCCATTAAACATATTTCAGGTTAATATAAGTTACCTAGTTTTTATATATTTTTTCAGGGGTGGATCCAGGGGGGGGTCCTGGGGGTCTGGACCCCCCTTTTCATCAGAAAATTTGAATACTTATTCTTTAACACAGTACTGTACTCAGGCATTTTTGTATAGTAAAATGTAATTACTTGTACTATTGACCTCAGAATATTTCCTAATATCAAGTGAACATGGTTTCAAAATGGCTTCAAAATGCCCATGACATTGGTCAGATTTAAAAAACAAAATCGGTGGGGGGGGGCTTACATTATCCCCAAAAAACCCTCCAGCCGGGTGAGCTTGCTGTGTTCGCCATGTTCCCCCCACACAAAACTGGATCCGCCCTTATTTTTTGTTTTTGCCTAATCTACATGGTTAGATTTTGACAGACCCTACAAATTTGTAAATATTAACAATAATAAATCAGTGGCATCTATGTAGAAAATGGGTTATGATCCATGGTCCCAAAATGGTATACTGAAATTCATTTTAATAAAAAAAAGACCTTTTTCAGGTGAAATATGTTGAGTGCAATGAAAACTTAATTATCAGGGATCTAATAATATTTATGCAGTTTGACCAAGGGTAGCTGACAAAAGCAATCAAAAGGTTATTTTGAGTAGGGACCATCATTTCTAATGTGTTCAGATTTTTTCTGTCTCACACTACCGACAGGTGTCTGTGTCATTGTCAGTATCTTCCAATGATGGAAAAAGAAAAAATGCCTATATTATTGTTTTTCGTTTATATAACAAAGCACAAGATAAAAGTTACCCAAAACACTAGCTACTCAATATAAGGACAAGTCCCTGACCTGTTGGTAAAATATTAGGACGTGTGTAGTGAACCTTGTTTGGTTGAGCCATGAGATCCAAAGTAGATTAGGGTAAGGCTTCTGAAATATACACGACAGGAAAAAATGTGTATCAGTCATATGTATTTATGAAAATACATATGGGTATTAATGGAAAATATGTAGTGAGGACAGCCTATACAGTACAGTACAGTAAAACTGATATGTATAACACATTACAAGAAACTTTCAAGATAAATTTTTGATGGAGATGGATGTCACTGGCCCAGTAATGGTATACTGTATATGAATCCTGATATACAGTATATAATTTTAACAATTTGGGTTAATTTAGATATTAACTTTATCTTGTTTGTTTTCTTGAGTATTTTACAGATGGTTGAAGTAATGTTTCGTCATTAGCGGGCCATTAAGTATGAATTGGTTGGTCGTCGTAACTTCTACTCAGCAGGAGGAGAGTTTGGAACGCCATATCCAATTGGATGTGGCAAGGAAGGTGTGACTGGTTTTTTTGGGTCGATGAGGCCTGCATCTTGGAAGGATGGATCTCTCTTACTGAATATTGATGGTATGATTGTACGAGTATATACATGTTTGTCTTGTAATGTGCCAGTCTTGTTGATATATAGCACATTTGCTTGAGATTTAGTTTTGTAATTACTGAATATCATGTATTTCTTTATACAGTAGTCAGAAAATATGAAATTATTGATTGATTATAAAATTTCATTAGCTCTAAATCTACTAAATCGCTTAGTTTGCTTGTTATTAAAACATTTTATCTCTATTTTTAGTTGCACACACAGCATTCTATAAAGAACAACCTCTTCTGAACTTTATTCAAGACTTCATGAATTTTAGGGAAGATGATTTTCATAGACCATTAGAGCCATTTAAACAATCAAAACTTTTGCAAGAACTAAGAAATATTAGGGTAAGTGCAGTCTTATGTATATTAGAAGCAAATACGGTGGTCCCTTGGTTAACGAACACAATTCGTTCCAGAGGGTCATTCGTCAACCGAAAATTTCGTTAACCGAATCCATTGTTGCAATGGGATATTGGGTAATTGGTTCCAGCTCACCGAAATGTGCATACAAAGTAAAAAAAAAATGCAGTAAAGTACACTTACCGTATATACCCGTGTATAGCACGAGTTCTTAAGACCAAATTTTTGGGCAAAAAGTTGGGGGTCGACCTCTATACGGGTAATAGTTTCGTTAGGTTGAAAAATATTTACCAGTAACTACCAGTAAACAATGGAAACGATGCACCAACGCACCACCCGCTGTGAGTGTCGGTACAGTTGCGTCATCATAGCAAGCCCAAAGTAGCCAAATGCATGGTATGGTATGCACAGGAGTATGTAGAACATAAAGTATTCATTTTTAAAAGTTTATTTATAGATACATAAATTTTTGTTAATTAAATTTGAAACATCAATATGATGTGAGTCAGGTCATCTACACACAGTTGCCAGTTTCAAAATTTTCCTTTTAAAATTTTAAGTTACCGAGTATTTCTTTTCCCAAATCGTTTTACAATACTTTAGGTAAAACAGTATACTATTGTGCAAACCCCACAGAAAAAAAATTAACAAATGGAGACACCAAAAATGTAAAAAAAAAAAATGCAACATTGTTGGTAGGGTCAGGTGGTTCTAACGGTACCTGCCAGGACCCGGTAATCAAATTTATAACAATATCTAACCTCAATTACTGTAGTTTATCTGATGTAGGCAATATGAAGTAAAAAATACCAGTTAAAGTGAGAAATTGGAAGAGAATAAACAAGAAAGATGTTGGGCTATTTTTGGTAGGGCTGAGGGAGAGAGTACCAGCTGTTTGGTCTTTTTTGGCGGGAGAGTCACGCAAATATCCGTACTAGTATTTGTTTGGTGTTCTTTATTTTTAAAAATGAATACTTGTAAATTAAAAGTACCGTAACATTGTATTATATAAAATCTTGTCATATTTCTGGAAAATAAGAAGCAAGAAAATAAGAATACACCGGTAAACACAATTTCAACGTACGCTAAAATTAAAAGCTGCTTAAGAAGGGCCGATGCAAACACAAAGCCTTCGCGACCAGGGCTCTGCCGTATCAGTTAGACGGTACACGTGTTTTTCGAATCGTTTTCAGTTAAAAAACTTTTACATCACAAGTGAATTAGGATAGAATATTATTGTAATATAACAGTTTTTAACTGAAAACCATTCAAAAGGCGATTACGGTAACATCTTGTGAACGAAAGAAAGCGAGTCATTGTTTTTGTCACGATTTTATCCCACTTTCCACTATAATACGTACGTCATTTCAGCAAAAATATTACATTTCCATATTCTCAGAAATAAATAGAAGTTTTGCTGAAACGTGATGTATTTCAATGTAAATTAGGATAAACTACATGAAAACAGAAGACTTTACCAAACCTTCCGATGTTCAAGATATGTTACTCGCATTTTTAATAGTTTTCGGTTAAAATACTGTTATATTAGTGATATTCTATTCATACTGTGGTTGATATAATACCTTCACGGAAATGTAATATTTTTTGCTGAAATGACATACGTATTACAGTGGAAAGTGGGATAAAATTGTGATGAAAACAATGACTTTCGCTTTGTTTCGTTCAAAAGATGTTACCGTAATCACTTTTCGAATGGTTTAGTTAAAAAACTGTTGTATTGTATTACAATAATATCCTAATTGACTTGAATAAATATTACGATACCATATTTCTGAATATTTTCATTAAAATCCACCAAAATCATTTTCTTTGTCATCGTCTGCAGCACCACACAGCTTCTCCCAGTCCTCTCCTTGAACAGGGCTAGAGGGTACACGTGTTCGAATCGTTTTCAGTTAAAAAACTGTTACATCACACGTATATTTTACCTAAACTGCGCCTGAATAAATATATTCTCGGAAATAAATAGTAGTTTTGCTGAAACGTGATGTATTTCAATGTAAAATAGGATAAAATACATGTCGAAAACAAAAGACTTTACCTAAGCTTCCGATGTTCTCGAGATGTTATTCGTTTTTTTAATAGTTTTCGGATAAAATTCTGTTATATTACAATGATATTATATTCATACTGTGCTTGATATAATACATTCACGGAAATGTAATATTTTTTGCTGAAATGACGTACGTATTACAGTGGAAAGTGGGATAAAATCGTGATGAAAACAATGACTGGCTTTCTTTCGTTCAAAAGATGTTACCGTAATCACTTTTCGAATGGTTTAGTTAAAAAACTGTTGTATTACAATAATATTCCCTCCTAATTGACTTGAATAAATACTTGAATGGAAATATACAATATTTTTGTTGAAACTACCCGCGTTTCAGTGTACAGTGTCGTGATAATAAATGGTAAACAAGTTTATAGGACGTAGTGTTTCTCTGAAGGTTTTGTTGTTCCTTTACCCTCAAAAACTTGGGTCGACCTATAAACGAGGAATATCATAAATTAACGATTTCTTGGTCATAAAATCGGGGTCGACCTATATACGAAGGGGGGTTATAGACGAGTATATACGGTACTTTGAGGTGTGTATGTAGAAGGTTCCTGGATGATGATGATGGGAATTAGAAGTGGGGGTGGATGAGAAGGGAGAAGAGAAGTAAGTGCGGATGGAGGAGAAATCATCTTTCAGGGACCCATGCTTGATGCAATCATTTCACCAATAAAATTATAAGTTCACTAGGTGTAATTCAAAATTATTTTATTTAAATCAACACTGCACTGCGCTATATATTATCAATGCGTTAACTAAATTTCAGAATGATCAATAATTTCAATGTAAAAATGCAAAAATATTCAAGACACCAACAAAATAGATGTTCACTCCACTGTCAACAAAGCCAAACTGACGCCTAGTGGCTGAGTCAAGCGGCTGATGGGCGCACAAAACACTAGTTCCCTGTACTGCATATATTATCAATATGTTGACTAAATTTTAAAATGACTAATAATTTTAATATAAAAAATGCAAAAATATTAAAGAGGACAACTTTCTTGATATTTACTCCACTGGAAACGTATGTAAACATAGAAGAGATTATTGAATTGGCAGACTAGCCCATCAACTGATGCTCACAACAAAACGTGTTGTTCTTAAGGACTTCGTTAATTGAAGATTTGTTCGTTAACCAAATTAAAGATCCTTATGGGCGGTAATTCGTTAAGCAAAATTTCGTTAATCGAACCATTTGTTAACCGAGGGACCACAAAATCTTTATAACTCGGCATTTAATATCTCGGAATTTAAACAGTATAATTCGGCATGTGTATGGTCTTGGAATTTATTATAAAATAATTTGGGAAATGCTGAGTTATCTAAAATTATCAGGGAAAATTTCGGTATTATTGAGCTTCATAATCAGGTGAATAAATTATAGACACCCTGTATATAAAAGACCGTACAAAGCTGGTAGCTTTTCTTTTTGGAATAAAATTTGTAGAGTTAATGAATGTGGTAAGAGTCATAGAGAACACAGTCCAGCATTTAATGATTTGGAATTACTTGTGCAAGGCTCACTTTCTTATGGAATTAGTTACAACCCAAGAGATTTAGACTCGTGAACCTGAAGCAGTAGAAACTGATGCATTATTCTGTCCAAAAATGCTTTGGATTCATGAGTAAATGTCGGGGTTTGTGTTTCAAGAGGAGAGGTGACAGGACTTTTGTGGGTGATTGTATAATGTTTTAATCATCATCCACATCATCATTAATGTTTTACAACCATTTATTGTGCTTATATAAGTTAGCTGTGATTATCTGTAGGCAACTTAACAAGGTGCATTGTGTCTTCATTCCTCTTTTGTCAGATTAATATCTTTGACATTTCTCACATCCTCTGTTTGTTATTCCTTGTTCTCCTCCCCTCCATATTAAAACTCCTGCATCCCTTGACTCAAATGGTTTCTCCATTCTCTCCACACGCCCAAACCATATAACTCTACCTCTCTGCAAAACCTCACCAATTAAAGTAACTTTTATATTTCAGGTGCAAGTTACACACTCCAATATCCCTCGCACTTACAAGATTATAGATGTTTCAGAACATTCTGCTGAGAAACAAACATTTCCTTTAAAAGATGAGAATACTGGGAACACAGTTTACTGCACCATTGAAAACTACTTCAAGAACCAATATGGAAAAAAAATTAAGTTTCCAAAGTTGAACTGTGTACAAGTGTCTCCTGCTGAAAGGAATGTGTTTATTCCATTTGAGGTATGATTGTAATTGTGGTGTATATATATATATATATATATATATATATATATATATATATATATATATATATATATATATATATATATATATATATATATATATATATATATATATATATATATATATATATATATATACATATATATATATATATATATATACAGTGGGGTATGCTATAACGAATCTAATTGGTTCTAGAACCTTGTTCGTTATAGCAATCGTTTGTTATAGGATTAATCCGTTCCAGGCCCCCAAATACAACCACTTAACACTGAAAAATATAATATAAAATTGTAAAAATTGTAAAAAAGTGCATAAATATGCATCTAAACCCCTGAAATAAAGAATATCATTAATATTTGTAATAAAAAACAATAAATTAGAAAAAAAAAATTAAATAATGTTCGTTGTAGGAGTTTCGTTCGTTATAGCATTCTCAATTTTATAGGTAAAACCGTTCGTTATAGGAATATTCGTAGTAGGATCCGTTCGTTATACCACTATATATATATATATATATATATATATATATATATATATATATATATATATATATATATATATATATATATATATATATATATATATATATATATATATATATATATATATATATATATATATATATATATATATATATATATATATATATATATATATATATATATATATATATATATATATATATATATATATATATATATATATATATATATATGGAAGTTTTCATTTGTTTAACTTCAGGTATAGACTAGAGGTGCCGCGACCTGTCAAAATACATTTACAGGGTGAAACCAGTCCGGCACATTGGGACCTTAAAATTTTGGGCAGATACAGTACCCTGTACAATAAAGCCTCGAATAACGACAGTAATGTGTCCTCCAATAATGCAGTGTAAGGTAAATCATCGTGTTGTGAATCATTGATTACCTTTAAAATACTGTAAAGTAATAAGAGTGAGATACGTTTCAAAGTCTGACCTTTTCATATCTTTTGCGTGACTTTTTACCCTCTTTTCCCCCCAAACAATTAAGTTAATAAAAAATGCAAACTATATTCTTTAAATAATGCAGATTTATATCGTAATTAGGCCCCTTTAAAAAATTTAATAACTTTATCTAGAGACCAAGGTGGGATTCTCTAAGGATGATCTGAGCATTTGATAAATTCTTGGGTTCAAAGTAATATTAAAACTCAATGCCAGAGGGTCAACCAATGCTGATTTATAAGATGCAATTGTTGATCCTTGAAGGCCTTTAACTCTGAACAGAAAATCTAAAAATTCTAACACCACTGTGTCCGACAATGTGATTGGAGTCGCTAACCTGATAAATTGTTGAAAAAGTTTCAAAGCTTTCTCATATTGCATAGAAGTTTGGGGCCTATGACCTGCTATCACTTGGTTAACGATATTGGAATTACCCAACAATCTATTTAAACATCTTTCGAGAAACTGCAAGCGTGAAGTGCCAAGGATATCTCGAACTGAGGGTGCAGTACCTGTTCTATATATCCCTGTTGCAATTGTAGTGGATGCAGGCACCAGTCCAACAGATCGAGACACCATGGTTGTAGGATCCAATATGGTGCAATTAAGAAGGATCTGAGTTTGTGAACCACTTTGGGCAACATTTTGTGAGGCAAAGAGATCTATTTGTGGAGTCCCAAACCTCCTCACTAAACTCTTGAACTTCTATATCTTTAGGGACCATTCTGTTTCTGTTGATACTGGTGTAGTGGATTCCTCCCCTACAAACGCCGTTTGTCGCTGAGTAGCCGACCCTCTTTGAATTACCCAGCCTGCACCTCCAGCGCCGCCTGACGTAGCGGGGGTCAACTATCAACCCACGCCTACCCCCGCCTTATAAGACCTCACCCCGCCGTGACCACCCTCTTTCTACCTACAGCCACCAACAAGCAACACCACCTCCTCCTCAGCTCCAGCCTGGCGGCTCCCGCTCCCGCCGGCGACCATGGCGTCCCTGAAGCTGCGTGCCCTCCTCTGGGCACCCTCACCAACCAGCTCTCTCTACTCAACGCATGTAACCATGCTGCCTACCTAGCACCAAGCTGCATTGTACATCCAATACAATATGTATACAGAGAGCACATCGTGAGTTTCCTTTCTCCAACCCATCCTGAGAGTGAACCAATATCTCATAACCCTACACTGGCCTTAGACGGGACAACGCATCTGCCCAATTGTTTTGTACTTCCGGTATGTGAGTTGCTTTGAGGTAAAGTGTTTGCGTTACACAAACTTTGAAAAAAATTTCCGATAGGTTTAGAAGAGGCCAAGATCTGGTTGAGCCTTGATTGAGACAAAACACTGCCTTTCTGTTGTCCATGGCAAACAGAATCGTCATGTTTTTGAAATTTGGGTTTGCCAACAAAAAGAATAGGACTACTGCTAATTTTTTGTTTGTGTTTGTCCCAAAGGGAGTTGCTCCACTTCCCTTGAAGGAACTCTCCATTTGAGGAATGGTATCCCCATCCTATTTAGGATGTGTCTGTACAAATGAAGCTAGACGTCGCATTCTGGATTGAACAAAAATAACGTCGTCAGTTACCCATCTGAAACTGAAAGAAATAGGACCCTGGTTGTTGCTGTAGTAAAATTAACGTAAAAAAATATGTACCGGTATGTGTAAATTAATATACAGTAGAAGTAACCACCGATGGTAAAGAAAAAAGTGAAACTGATAGCGGAATGTCAACGTATACGTGCGCACTCAAGGAAACGGCGTAATATATCTTAAGAATATGTACAAAAGATTCATTATTGTTTACCCGCATTAATGATTATGTAATTGATTGAATTAATGTTTATATATGCAAAATGAACAATACAATTCATTAATAATATGTAGAAAATTAAAATACACAAGAGGAGACGAGACGACATTGTTTTCGTTAGTGTTTACACCCTTGATGATGGTTCTACATATGAAACTGAAAAAAATAAGACCCTAGTTGTAGCTGTAGTAAAATTAATGTAAAAAATGAATATGTATGTTTTAAGTAATGGTATTTAATGTTAATGAATGGAACATTAGAAGTACCTTGTGGGGTATGAGATTGTTTGTGTTCACACTCAGGATGGGGTGGAGAAAGGAAACTCACAATGTGCTCTCTATATACATGTTGTATTGGATGTACAATGCAGCTTGGTGCTGGGAAGGCAGCATGGTTACAAGCGTGATGTAGAGAGAGCTGGTTGGTGAGGGTGCTCACAGGAGGACAGCTTGTGGGTCGCCATGCTCGCCGGCGGGAGCGAGGACCGCCAGGCAGGCGGAAGAGGTGTTGCTGGCTGGTTGGTGTAGGTAGAAAGAGAGAGGTCACAACGAGGTCAGGTCTTAAATAGCGGGGGGTAGGCGTGGCTTAGTAGTTGACCCCCGCTCCGTGATGTATGGCGGCACTGGTTGACCTAGACCACGAGGCACACACTGTGGAATTCGTGGGGTCGGCTATGCAGCGACAAACAGCGTTTGTAGGGGAGAAATCCACTACAATACTCCCCCTTCCCTCCAGGCGGTGTAGGAGACTTGTTGTCTGCAGGGTTGCATAGCACATGTGAGGCAGAACGGGCGGTGCATGCCTCATGTAAGACAACGGCGATGGCGTGGATGAGCGGGTCGCTGGAGACAACTGTCTAGATACACAATATCTGTGGGAGTAGAGAGGGAGAAAAAGGGTGTGTGGAGGCGATGAATGTTGTGCTTCCCTCACGGCAGGTACAGAGTCGTCAGATGCGCCTGCTGGGGTGTGTGGGCCTGGGTCAGGAGCAGGGGCTGTGTCAGCAGAAGCGGATGAGGGCTCGTGACAGCAGCTGGGTCCACGACAGCAGCAGGGTGCAGGACATTAGCAGGGAGTACCTGAGGGAGAAAAGAGGGGTGTGTGGGTCCGCACTCAGGAACAGGGGCCGCGTCAGGAGAAGCGGCAGGGGGTACTGCTGGGCCGGGGTCGGCGTCTGAGGCAGAACGGGTGTGTTGGTCCTCGTCAGGAGCAGGGGCCGCATCAGGGGCGGCAGGGGTTACTGCTGGGCTGGGGTCGGCGTCTGAGGCAGGACGGGTGTGCTGGGGTCGGTAGGATGTGGTGCTTGGGGCAGGAAGAGGCGCTGGTGTCTGATTAGAGAAACAGTGCTGCTCTAGGGTGTCTAACCTGCGGTGTAGAGACAGTAGTTGTAGAACCGATGAGAGCTGCTTCTGTTTGGATAAGCCAGTCTTCCATGTTGCTTGAAGACTGGGAGCGTGATCAGTTTCTCCTCCATCCTGTGTGAGTGCGAATCTCCGGGAGTCACCATTTGTGGGGTTCAAGATTGTTTGGTTCACACTCAGGATGGAATGGAGAAAGGAAACTCACAATGTGCTCTCTATATACATGTTGTATTGGATGTACAATGCAGCTTGGTGCCGGGAAGGCAGCATGGTTACAAGCGTGATGTAGAGAGAGCTGGTTGGTGAGGATGCTCAGAGGAGGACCAGCTTGTGGGTCGCCATGCTCTCCGGCGGGAGCGAGGACCGCCAGGCAGGCGGAGGAGGAGTGAGGGCTGCCGGGCAGCGGCAGAGGAGGATGAGGTGTTGCTAGCTGGTTGGTGTAGGTAGAAAGAGAGAGGTCACCACGAGGTCAGGTCTTAAATAGCGGGGGTTAGGCGTGGCTTAGTAGTTGACCCCCGCTCCGTGATGTATGGCGGCACTGGTTGACCTAGACCACGAGGCACACACTGTGGAATTCGTGGGGTCGGCTATGCAGCGACAAACAGCGTTTGTAGGGGAGAAATCCACTACAACCTAACCACTAATTGTAAATACAAAAAAAAAAAAAGCAAGACTGCGCAACGCCAATGTAAGTAAGTACCTACATGTGAAACCATATCATAATTTCTCTACATAAGAATATGAAAGCAACTCTTATTACTGTTAATATAGGTTTTAAATAATACTTACGAATGTAAAACAAAAATTCTACTCACCAATGGTGGTAAAGTCGAAAACATAAGGACAGCCAATGAATGCTGTTGTGTGAGTTTATACTCAGATGACGAACTCGTAAGGTTCAACTCTGGCTGAAGCTGTAGCTTTCCATAAAGATGTCATAGCTGTTGCTGAAACTGTTACTGAACCTGCAGTTCCTGAAGCTGCTGCTAATGCTGAATTTGATGGTGTAGCTGCTTTTTTTTTTTTACGGGAATTAGCCCACCCGGGCACAGGTTAAACGACCCACAACGGAGCCTGGGGGGCGAAAAAAAAAGAACGGAAAGAAATTGTAAATATAGAAAAAAGGTTATACCGTATTAATCTACACCACGAAGATGCCGGAAAACCAGCTTTTTAAAGTGAGACAGATTGTTAGAGCATGGAAACACAGAAGAAGGCAGAGCATTCCACAGCTTGACTGTGTGAGGAAAGAAGGAAGTACTATAACGGGTTATTCTCGTGTGACCGAGATCCACGGAGAAACGGTGGGCACCGCAAGCAAGACGTGTGTTACGAACCCACGGCCTTGCCGGCGGTACACAGGATGCCAAATCCACTGAACATTGCCCGTTAAAGTACCTGTAAAAGAGAGAGAGTGAAGCAACATTGCGGCGAAGAGAAAGGGAAGAGAGATTGTCGACTAAAGGAGGAGAGTTAATAAGACGAAATGCCTTTGATTCCACCCTATCTAATACTGTAGTTGGACAGAAGAAGAGCCACCCCAGATATGAGAGCAGTACTCCAAGTTAGGACGAATGAATCCCTTATATACTTGGAGCAACTGCTCAGGAGTGAAGTAGCTGCGGCATCTGTACAGCATTCCCAACTTTCGGGAGGCAGCTTTAGTTATACTAAGGATGTGTGATTTCCAGGACATATTGGAGGAAATGGTGAGGCCTAACATATTTATTTCAGAATTTGGGAGGATGATAGCGTCCTGAAATGTAATTGGTGGGAGATCGTCTAATTTACAAAGTGTAATTGGTAAATATTGAGTTTTATTACTATTGAACTTAACCAAGTTTGTATCTCCCCATTCAGAGATGCTGCACAGATCCGCATTGATAGAAGTAATGATATCAGTTCTAGAAACAGATCTAGTTTGAGAGTTAGGAGGAAGGGGAAAATGTGAGAAAGAGTGAAGAGTAGAATCATCGGCGTAAGAATGGATAGAATTAGTTTTAGTGTGAAGTAAATCATTGATAAAAAGAAGGAAGAGAGTTGGTGAAAGAACAGAACCCTGTGGGACGCCACTATTGGTTGAGAAAGAGCGAGAAATCGATCCCTCGACAACAACTGCCATGGATCGGTTCTCAAGGAAGCTAGAGATGAGAGAACAAAGTGGGGGAGAGAAACCAAAGGAGGGAAGTTTAGATGGCAAAGACTTGTGCCATACCCTGTCAAATGCTTTGGAGATGTCGAGGGCCACGACAAAAGTTTCCCCATAGTCCCTAAGAGAGGATGACCAAAGATGGGTGCAATAGGAGAGCAGATGGTGTAGCTGAAGTTGATGGTTTAGGCCTTTGAATAATAAAGCCGTTGATAGAACCTTGCATAGCTGCATTTTTTCTCATTATATATCTTTATGTAGGGGTCATATGCGTTTTCACGTCCCTGTTAATTTTAATGCTTCGTTCAGTTAATGGATCCACTTCAGAAAATATGTTCATTGCTTGCTGCATATAATATCTACAGACCTCTCACCTTTTTCATAGCGTTTTAACACATCTTGTTTCTCGGCCAAGCTTATACACTTTCTTTTAGCTTTTGAATCAGCACTACCATCACTTGCTCTCTTGCTTATGCTAAATAGGGAAGCAAAAATGCTGTAAGAAACCCGAGAAAGTTTTTCTCCTTTTCCTGTTCAGATGCACGAAACCAAAAGGCCCGCCAAGCTGTGACTGTTTATACTAGTGATGCTGGCATCACCACTCACATGCCCTGCAGCCTCCATGCGCAAGGCATGTTTTTTTTTTTTATAATATACATTGGGATTTAGTTATTATTTATATGAAATTGTAATTTTATTTTATTTTTTATTATATTTTCGTCGTAAATACGAAGGAAATAACGGTGTAGATTGAATTGGGTCCTAAATAAACCAGGGTCTTAAATATGAATCGTCGTTAGTAGAAGCGTCGTTTTCGGAGGCTTTCCTGTATACCGTAGGCATACCCCGGGCTACAGAAGGGTTCCGTTCCTAAGGAAATCTTTCTGCAACGCGAAACCATTTTTTCCATATACAGGGGTCCTCAACTTACGAACGTCTGACTTACGAAAGCCCGCTGATACGAATGGGGTTAAACTTGAAACTTACAGTATTTTATTTACCTGATGACTTATTTTTTACTTTCATTTATTGTATTTTGTCATTCTATTTCTTCTTTTCTCTTAAATTAAGTGATTTTAGATGTATATAAAGACTTAGGCTATGATATAGTGGGATTTTAAACATTGCTCTGTAAGTACGGTATGCACATAGCATGTGTTCCGTCTTACGTACATTTCCGACTTAAGAACTTCCTCAGGAATGGAACCTGTTCGTAACCCGGGGACCCCCTGTACTGCACTGTACTTCACTGCAACTGAGTGTTATGACAAACCAATAGTCATGCTTTGGAACAATGCCAAACTTTTGGTTGTTTGAATATTAATTACAAAAACAACTATGAAAAATATTAAGATAGGCATATTCAAACTTAAACTTATGTTGAGAATTTCCAGGAAATGAGTTGTTAATATTATTTTGGGGATTCAGCTTGAGGAACCTTATGTTACATACCTGGTAATTTTGAAAAGTAAAAAATTCTCATGAATATTCTTTTACAGTGCTGCAAGATTTACAAAGGTCAAAGAGTGGTTAAGAAGCTTAGTGATCGAGAAACTGCTCAATTTATTAGGACAACAGCTGTTCCACCAGCAACAAGAAAGAAACAGATATGCAATATTCATCGCACCAATGACTTTACTCAAGATCCAATGCTGAAGAATCTGCAGTTCAGTATAGCAGAAAGAGTATGACCTCTCCCGTTTCTTTTATATGCAGTAATCACCATTTTATATATGAACATACAGTATACTTTTCCATTGACCCATTAGGCTTTGAGCCATTTTATATATATATATGTACTGTATATATATATATATATATATATATTTCATTAGCCCAATAAACACGCGGACTTCTACATACAATCAACACCTCAACCCGCCAGGACTCGAACCCAAGGCTCACGAGCCTTTGACTGTGACCGGGGAATGCTAACCGCTGGACCACCAGGATACTAAAAGCAGTCCTAGACTCTGTTATATTTCACACAAAGCCTGTTCAACGAGCTTATGGCGCCTTGAACCTCTAATGGGGACTACCCGTATCACGTAGGTGGTCAGAGTTAAGTTTTACCAAATCCGGCTTTGAAACACGAGGAACAGGCTTTGTATTATATATATATATATATATATATATATATATATATATATATATATATATATATATATATATATATATATATATATATAGATATAGATATAGATATAGATATAGATATAGATATAGATATAGATATAGATATAGATATAGATATAGATATACAGTATTACCCCGCTTAACGCGCTTTCACTTAACGCGTTTTCGCATATACGCGGTGCCTTGCCAAAGCTGAACTTTCACTTAACGCGGCATTTTTCATCATATACGCGGTGAGTGTCCGGCTCGAGAGCTATTTTTAGATTCGCACCACCCCCCACCCGCCACCCTGCCTGACTGCCTGTTTTAGCTCATAAAATTCATACAAATTACCCAGCCAGAATATAATTTACATTGCTGGAATTCTTATAATTTGGTGATCATTTTGAATATAAACAACATATATTTTGCATTAAACATACAATTTTTAGATAAAAATTGTTCTCTAGGTAATTATGTTATCTTTTGTCCAAAATATATGACATTTATATTCAAAATATTCCTGGTCTTACAAGGAATCCAGCAATGTCAATTATATTATCCTAACTTTAGTTTGAGGTATTATTTATTAAAATTTAGTGGTTATCCCACACATCTCCTTGGGACGGTTGGTGGGGGGTGGGGGGGAGGGAGGGACCGACCGACCGACCATCTGTTACCCCATGAAGAATTATTTTTTTTTTTATTAACTGAAGATATTTGTTTTAGCTCATAAAATTCATACAAATTACCCGGTCAGAATATAATTTACATTGCTGGAATTCTTATAATTTGGTGATCATTTTGAATATAAACAACATATATTTTGCATTAAACATACAATTTTTAGATAAAAATTGTTCTCAAGGTAATTATGTTATCTTTTGTCCAAAATATATGACATTTATATTCAAAATATTCCTGGTCTTACAAGGAATCCAGCAATGTCAATTATATTATCCTAACTTTAATCTGAGGTATTACTTAATACTAAATGTTAAAAACTCTTGAATGGAGGATTGGTGGGGGGTGGGGGGAGGGTTGGGACTGACCACGCAGTTGGAAGAGGGGGGGAAGGCAAGGTGGGGTACTTTGATTGACAGATAGTGTCGAAGAATATTTTTTTTTTTTTATTAACTGAAGATATTTGTTTTAGCTCATAAAATTCATACAAATTATCCGGCCAGAATATAATTTACATTGCTGGAATTCTTACAATTTGCTGATCATTTTGAATATAAACATCATAGATTTTGCATTAGACATACAAATTTTAGATGTAAAGTTTATTCTGAGTAAATATGTTATCTTTTGTGAAAAATATATGACATTTATATTAAAAATATTCCTGGTCTTACAAGGAATCCAGCAATGTCAATTATATTATCCTAACTTTAGTTTGAGGAATTATTTATTACTATACCTGGTTTTCCCCCAAAAATTTCTCAGAGGGAAGAGCCAGTGAGTGTAGTGTGAGAAGAGGGGGAGGGAGTTGAGTCCATTATTTGAATGGACATTAACTTGGCGACTGTATTTCTCTATTTCTCTTAAGTATTAATTGTGTGCATGTACCATCATAAAATTAAGATGTTATTTTTACTACAACATAGTTACTTGTCGTCAAAAAGTGGAGTTTGGGAGTCGGGCTGGGTTCTATTTTAATCCCATTTTACAGCTGGAACATGTCACTGTGCACAGCAGACAGACTTCAGTCTCATAAGATAACGCTTTTTAAGTTATTAATGACTATACAGTAGTATTGTACTGTATCTTGTCAATAATGTAGTCCATTACATAAAAAAATAACATTCCTCTCTTGCTGGTTTTAAATACTGTAAAGTGCCTTCAAAATTCTCATGTTAAATTATCTGGGAAAATTAAATACAGTTGTGCCCCGCTTTACGTGGTCAATTGAACCCACAGGGTACCGCATTAAGTGAAAACCGCGTTAAGTGAACAACAGAACATATGGGATTAATTCCAATAGAGACTGGCCCGACCCCCAAACTCCACTTTTTAACGACACACAACTATGTTGTAGTAAAAATATTATCTTAACTTTATGATGGTATGCACACACAATTAATAATTAAGAGAAATATCAATAATATTAGGTTTTTTAACACTTACATTAGTAGAAAAGATGGCTGGGCACACGGGGATGGGGGGTTGGTTCCGAGGCAGAGGGCAGATTATTGGCCCTCACCTGTATCACTTGTATCAATTGTATCACTATCCACCACAGAGGCTTGCAGGGCCTCTTTGTCAAACCCCTCAAAGTCCATATAAGTCCATATCCTCACTATAATTATCACTATCACTGACTTGGGCCGGCTGTGGTGGGTGGCGGGTGAAGAACTTGGTAATGTTTTGATGACTGGGCGACCTTGTGCGCATCGTGCCTGCGCCGCTTCCCGCGTATATGAGTAGATGAACCGCGTTAAGTGAAAGTTCGGTTCTGGTGAGGCACCACGTAAATGAGAAATCGCGTTAAGTGAAACTGCGTAAAGCGGGGTAATACTGTACTGCACAATGTTTCCTCCTAAAACTAGTTAACTACTCTGCAGTAAAGTACAGTATTTTGAAACATGAGGATAGACTTGCTAACCTGAGCAAATGTCCATTCTTGTCCTTCAAATATGAGTGCAACCTTATTAGGATTCCTCCTAACATTTTCCATGAACACTTTTGGGAGGTTGGTATTACAGTAGAGGGCCCACTTGAGTTTGGCCATTATTTTGAAATACCTGTACCCTGCACTGAAAGTAAGAAGACCATTAAAATATACTGTATAAACATCAAGAAACCTCGCACATCATTTTTGTTAATTATAAGCCAATATCACTAAAAATATAAAAATATATATATTTTATGTACAGGTAGTACAGTACATCACACACCTAAAGATATTATTCTGCATAACACCATTAAATTTTAAAGACCTTATAACAATGAGCTTTAATATAAAAAAATAATGCAAATGTGGAAAATAATCAAGTGGTTATTACTGGTACACAGTACAGTACAGTGCTGCATAAACAAGTGTTTAATATAGAGCCACATGACAGACAAAACCATCAGATATCTTTAATCACACAAGTTATAACTTTGCCAATGATGAGCTATAAGAGGGACAACCATAATTTGTAGAGTATTTGTCTTAATGCCTTATGCAATGTAAGCACATGTAAAAAATAGGAAGTACAGTACCCGGTACAGCACAAAGTACACGACAAACTGAAGTACAGTAAATGTTCGCTTGCACAATAAATGGCTGGTGAAGGTTATATATGCAAATTTAAGATCCTCTTATTGGTTTGGGCACTATGAACATGGAGAACTAAGAAGTAACTGATGCAAATGCAAACTCACATGAGATCTCTGGGGAGAGTCATGTACGCAAGCCAGAGAGTGTGGTAGCCACCAGTGGTGATGTAGATACCTGCAGCTACAGATGCCAACTGCAGACTGCTCAGTTGAGGCAGTGAGAACCCTCCAATTGACAGTCCATTCTTTCCAGCTGCCCACAAGGCACTTGTCACCCCAACAATTGCTGCAGTTCGCCACATGGCTTAAAACTGAAAAAAAAATATATAATAATAATAATAATAATAATAATAATAATAATAATAATAATAATAATAATAATAATAATAATAATAATAATAATACAATAATAATATAAAAAAAAATAAATAAAAAAAAATTATATATATATATATATATACAGTATTACCCCGCTTAACGAGGTTTCGCTTAGCGCGTTTTACCGTATACGCGGTGCCTCGCCAGAGCCGAACTTTCACTTAACGCGGGTTTTTTCCACGTATACGCGGTGAGTGTCCGGCTCGAGAGCTATTTTTAGATTCGCCCCACCCGCCACCCTGCCTGACTGCCTGTTTTAGCTCATAAAATTCATACAAATTACCCGCCAGAATATAATTTACATTGCTGAATTCTTACAATATGATGATCATTTTGAATATAAACATCATAGATTTTGCATTAGACATACAAATTTTAGATATAATGTTTACTCTGAGTAAATATGTTATTTTTGTGCAAAATATATGACATTTATATTCAAAATATTCCTGGTCTTACAAGGAATCCAGCAATGTCAATTGTATTATCCTAACTTTAGTTTGAGGTATTATTTATTAAAATTTAGTGGTTTTCCCCCCAAAAATTTCTCGAGAGGGAAGAGCCAGCAGTGTAGTGTGAGAAGAGGGGGAGGGAGTTGAGTCCATTATTTGAATGGACATTAACTTGGCGACTGTATTTCTCTTAAGTATTAATTGTGTGCATGTACCATCATAAAATTAAGATGTTATTTTTACTAGAACATAGGTATTGTGTCGGAAAAAGTGGAGTTTGGGGGTCGGGCCAGTTTCTATTGGAATTAATCCCATATGTTCTGTTGTTCACTTAGCGCGGTTTTCACTTAACACGGTACCCTGTGGGTTTTATTGACCGCGTTAAGCGGGGTACTACTGTATATGTATATGTATATGTATATGTATATATATATATATATATATATATATATATATATATATATATATATATATATATATATATATATATATATATATATATATATATATATATATATATATATACTGTATATATATATATATATACAGTCAACCCTCACTTTACGCGGTTAATGTAACCCGCAGGGTCCCACGGAAAGTGAGGAACGCGTAAAGTGAATAACATAACATATGGGATTAATTGAAATAGAGTCCGGGCCGACCCTCAAATTCCACATTTTGAAGACACACAACTTTGTTGTAGTAAAAATTTTATCTTAACTTTATGATAGTATGAAAAAACAAGTAATATAGAAGAGGTTAGGTTAGGAAAAATAAAGGTTAACATAGGAAAAATAAAGGTTAGGTTAGGAAAACTAAAAGTTATGTGGAACACTTACATTAGTAGAAGAGATGGGTCGGAATACGGGGATGGAGGCTGGTTCCGAGGCAGAGGGCAGATTACTGGCCCTCAGGTGAATCACCATTACTAGGTGAATCACCATCACTGTCACTTACAGTTGTCAGGGCTTCCCTGACAAATCCCTCAAAGTCATCTTCACTGTCACTATCACTGGCTTGGGCTGGCTGTGGTGGGTTGCGGGCAAAGAAATCTGTTATGCTTTGCTGACGGCTGGTGTGGATGTTGTCGTGATACACCTTGATGTAGGGCTCTATAGTCTGCAACAGCTGGGTAGTGAAGATTTCATACCTGTTTGCGTCAGGGTCGTCGGAAAGGAGGAGCTTGGCTTTCTCGATACACTCGATGGCACCCCTAACATTACTATGGGATAAGTGTTGTTCATCTTGGGATGACGCACCACCTGCTTCTTCACTGACGTCGTCATCATCATCATCTACCATGTCGTTGGTAGTCACATTAGGATCCCTTATCACCTCCAGGATGTCGTCGTTGGTGGTCTCGGAGAAGCCTGGAACTGTAACAGTCTGCGCAGCTTCTCTGGCAAGGTCCACTGCTACTGCAACAGTCTGAACCTCACCAGTCACAGATTGACTCCTCCTCTCACCTGGTATTCCATGCAACACATGTCTCCATGTGTGACGAATTGTAGCAATAGACAGCTGATCCCATGACTCCAGCCAAGAAGTCCACAGCTTTCTTGATGTTAAATACTCTCCAGAATTGTTTGAACAGTATTTTTTGCTGTGCCAACTGTTGATCCTCATCTTCTTCGCTCTTGCTATCGGTGGTGGTGTCACTTAGGTTGCGCAACTCTTCCCTGGTGTTGGTGTAGTCGTTCAGGAGTTTGAATTTTTTCGTAGAGAATGCAGCTTTTACATTACAGATTAACTCTTGGTCCATGGGCTGTAATATAGACGTAGTGTTGGGAGGAAGGAAGACCACTTTTACGTTGGGGTGACGATCTAACAGTAGGGGCGAGTGTCCTGGTGCGTTGTCCAGCAGCAACAAAATGTTGAATGGCACATTCTGTTGCTCACAGAATTTCTTTACATCAGGAACAAAACAGTCATCAAACCAGGAGAGGGACAGTGTAGAGAACATCCACACCTTACGTGCGGTCAGCCAGTGGACATTTAGCTTGGTCATGTCCATGGTTTTGTAGGCGTGCGGCTTGCGTGCTGTGTGGATCACCGATAACTTGAGCTTACTGGTACCGGAGGCATTGGTGGTAAACAGGACGGTGATGCGTTCCTTCTGCATCTTCCGGCCCCGAATCTTGCTGGGATTCTTTACAACGAAGGACTTGGAAGGTAGCTTTTTCCAGAAAAGACCAGATTCGTCCATGTTAAACACCTGGTCGTCACTGTACTGTCCTTCCTCCATAATCTCACGTAAAAACGGAGGAAATTCCCTAGCCGCAGCACGGTCAGCACTCACTTCTTCACCACCAATGTTATATTGGTGATCTTGTTCCGGATCTTAAACCTCTGTAACCACCCAGAGGAAGCATTAAAGGGTTTGGGCTCTGTAGTTCCCATCTTTCGTGCCACTGCCATGTACAGTTCACGTGCGTAGTCCTTAACAGAGTGCGTGTCTACCGCCATGTTCCGTCGCGCCTGACGCACCAAGTACCTCACAAGTAATTTTTCTGTCTTGAGAAGCACCTGGTTGTGAAAATACTTGATCATAGAAGCACCTGTAGACTTTGTGATCTTTATGTGCTCCTTTATCTTGGCTGCATCCTTCTTTATTGTTCGAATCGTAGATTCATTCACACCATGCTGGCGCGCCAAATCAACCTGCCTTGTTCCTTTCTCCAACTCTTGGATGATGGTATACTTCACCTCGTAGCTTAAGGAACGTCGTGTCTTCTTTGGCTTAGTGCCGCTGGGTCCAGGTAAGGAAAGGTTTCTTTCTGGGGGTGGTGGTCCGGCGGAAGCCATTTTAGAGAACAATGGATGCACGTTTACACGGTCTGGCGTGGAGGGATGAAACTGGCGCGGCTAGGTCAAGGATAATCTTTCCTCCCTCCCTCCCTCCCCCGGGTGGACACGTCATAATACTTTAAGCCAATTACAGCTAGCAGCAGAGGGGGGTAGGGATGCATGGCCAATCACAGTCCGATACGTCATATGACATCAGTGATAACGCAACAAAGACACACACTGCGCAACCTTACCGCGCGGCTTGCCCAAGCGGAGGGAGGAGGAGGGAGAGGCAGGCAGGCGGGTGGGGCGAATCTAAAAATAGCGTTGCGCCGGACACTCTCCGCATAATGGGGTTCACGCACCGCGTAATGTGAGCACGTTAGGTTCTGGCAAGGCACCGCGTTAACGTGGAAACGCGGAATGTGGGACTGCGTAAAGTGAGGGTTGACTGTATATATATATATATATATATATATATATATATATATATATATATATATATATATATATATATATATATATATATATATATATATATATATATATATATATATATATATATATATTAATATACTCATTCACACTATTTTATAATCGCAGTCATGTACTGAATATACTATGTACAAAAAATGAATGTTAAATGAATTATTTATGGTGCATTAGGGTACTGGCCACTTCAGACACAAAGACGGGCTATAAATAGCCTTGTTATCTACCCCTACATCTCACCCTGAGCCAGAGGGAAGCGTCTTGGTAAATAACATTTGTTTGCTTATTTTCCATTTACTTGAAATAGATTTACCGAATTATTTGTTTATTTATTTATTTATAATATACTGTAATATATTAAACACACTGTAATTATTTTCTTTAATTTATAAACTTGTTTTGCGACAAAGGAATGTTCTCCAGTAGTGTTTCATTAGGATTTGAGTGAAAAAATATTTCATACTTACTACATACATTTATTACACAAACATTTATATATACGGTAAATATATATATATATATATATATATATATATATATATATATATATATATATATATATATATATATATATATATATATATATATATATATATATATATATATATATATATATATATATATACACACACACACAGTTAACCCTCACTTTACGTGGTTAATGTAACCCGGAGGGTACCGCGGAAAGTGAGAAACGTGTAAAGTGAATAACATAGCATATGGGATTAAAGCCGCAGGAAATTAAGGTTTGTTTACATCCGGCAGTTCGGCTGCTCTCTCTCTCTCTCTCTGCTTGTCTATACAGAGTACAACATTTAACCCTTCAATATATATGAGCAGTAAATAAGTGTTGCTTTCATATTCTTATGTAGAGTAATGACGATATATTTTCACATGTGCGCACTTACATACGAGCAGTCTCACTTTTTTTTTTGCCATTAATGGTTAGCTACTTATATTGTTCTATTTATGAACATTAAATAACATTACAGGTACTTCAAGCAACCATATTCATTTTTTTACATTAATTTTACTACAGCTAAACTCAGGGTCTTATTTTCTTCAGTTTTATATGTAGAACCAATCAGTCACTGGTTTCGTAAGCTTTAACATAAACAATGCCGGCAGCCGTCTCGTCTCCTCTAATATTCCACGTATTATAAATAAATTGTATTGTTAATTTTGCACACACGTACATT